GGCCCCCCCACCCCCGATCCTGCAAACACTCCCGCACCCAAGCAACGAGCTCCCATACGGTCCCACTGCTCCAGGAAGTCTCTGCCTGGGATATCTGCCCACGACCCACTCCCGCCCCTCCAACGTCTGCCCCTTCCACACGAGTCCCCGGGCGTCTTCGGCCGGAGATCTGGGACTTATGCTCACTCAGTTTTCCGTCCCTCTCGAGGGCCGCACGAGCCGGCTAGTGAAGCTGTCAAGATCAATTCTTTCAGCTCACGCGTTTAAAGCCAAAGGTCCGGGACTCCAGCTGCCCCCGTCTCCTCTGGGGGCAGCCTGTCACAACCCACAGAGGCAGTGACCCCATACTGGGGGTTCTCCCAAGAGAGAAATTTCACCCCCCACCCCACCCCCGTGTATCCGCATTTGCAAGGTTCGCTCAGAATCAGCACTGCCATCGGTGTCATTAGATACCAACACCTGGTTGCCTTTCGGACCCTCCGTTTCTCGCCCAATTCCTCTCCTTGGCCGTCTCCTCCTTTCCACACTGTCTATTGTTTTGTTTCGGGTGCATATATAGGATATGAACCATTGTCTAAAATATTCTCTATCGGTTTTAAAAATTATTTGAATCCCTTTTCTCTGGTTTTATCTTGCACTCTTGCTTTGTTGCTATTTCTTTGATACACGTTTTCTTTAACTTGCCTCTTCTTGTACGTAATCCTAGAGTTTAAGGCCAGAAGGGACAACCGGACTGTTGAGTCTGACTTCCTGTCCGTCACAGGAAGTGCCAGTCCCCACACACTAAACCCAACAAACCCTTTCCTACTTCCGTAGAACTTTTTAACCTTTGACAGTTTCTCTTTTTCTTCTTCCTATTTTAAAATCCATTTTCTTATACTCTGCAACATTTCACATTTTATTTCTCAGACTGTCCGATTCTGGTTTGTATTTCTAATTTACACCACTTTTTGACTGTGAACCCCTTGCGAGTCCTTGAATATTTAGCGTTTTCCTAATTTCCTTTTCATTTGTAACCATGTACAGTTGCATGGTTTTCAACTCTTCCCTAATTTCTTTTTTAAAAACTTTCTCGTTTTCTATTTTTTCAACGTTTTTTTTTCCTTTAAACATTGGCTTGTAACCCTTTTCGTTTTTTTCTTTTGGGGATTTTCTTGGACTCCGTTAGCGTTTTTTCGGAGGTGTGTTTGACCCTTCCAGTTTCCTCTTGGTTTCCAGAAAGGTCTTTTAACTCTTCACACTTTTCTTCAGTGATTGGGTTTGCCCAGTTAGGCCCTCAGTCGGCAAAGACGGGACGTTCATGCTTCGCTTGATGAACTGGGAATCACCCTGCTGATTTCAGGGAGACTGTGCCAGTTAAGCATGTGCTTACAGGATGGGGGCTTTAACCCTTTCCTACTTTCTTGTTTAACTTGTATTCAGTACCCCGATATGCCCTCGGGTCCCCCCCACTACACCTTCCCAGAAGGGACACCACGGAGGACATGGGACTTGGTCTCTCAGCTAGTGAAACCTGGTATTTTGCCCCACTGATGCGGATTTGCACTAACTCGGGCGCTGAACACACTGAAGGTCAAACTGGGTGAGATTAGGTAGAGGGGATGGAGCAGGAGGAGATAAGAGCCAAGCTGCCGGCTGGAGCAGCCTCGTGCAGCCATGGGGGGAAGATGAGGGACCCCGTGTTTGGGTTCGAGTCCTGATGACGCTGATGCCAAAATGGGCTGGACTGTGGGATGGGGGGATGGGATCCTGGTATAGAGAGGAAGAAGACGGTCGGTAGGGATGGAAGGGAAGTGAGGCGGGAAAGCCAGGGAACGCCCGTGGGGAAGCCAGGGAGGTGCGGTCAGAGGAAAAGCTCTTGGACTCTGGTGACAGACAGGACGGGACAGGAAGGAACAGAGAGACTGGAGCCCGTAGGAATTCAGAGGGGGCGACTCTGGGGACAGCCAGGAGAGTGGAATTGCTGACGGAGGCAGCGAGAACAGGCAGTAAGGAGAACGGGGGAGGGAAGCCATGGAGCTGGGATCCTGCCGTGCCGGCATGAACGCCGGAAGGCCAAAGGAACGGAGAAGGCTCCTCTACACAGGAAACACTTCAGCAGTGCAACGGCGGCACTTGAGCAGAGACAGGAGGGGCTCCCCCATCGGTAGGTCATCCGCCTCCCCAAGAGAAGGTAGAGAATTCTTCCATCAACCTAGCGCTGTTTACACGGGGCCTTGGGTTGGCTTAGCTATGTCACTCGGGGGTGTGGAATTTTCACACCCCTGAGAAATGGTCCTGCTAATTTTTTTCCCCATCTATGGGCAGAAGGAGATGGAGACCGGTCAAAGGGTGAGCAAACGGAACTGGGGTTCAGAAGAGAGTTGGGGTGGCATGAGTAGGGGACAGGAACTCAAGAAGCAGATGACGCCTACTAGGTGGTTTTGATTTCTTTGCTGCGTCTGAAGCGCTTAGCAAAGTTCTGGTCAGAGAGAGAGGAGAAAGCAGTTGAAATATTGATGAGGACTGGTACGTTTCTGCTTCCTGAAGGTGTTCCTAAAACTTTTGCCAACCGAGGACTCACTCCTGCCAGGGTGTATTTTTGAACCGGCATACACACGAAAAGGAAAACTTGTGGGAAAATTCTGGATTTGTGAACATCTTCACAAGGAAGCCGCAGGCCCTCCGATTAATAAAACCGACGGAAATTTTTCTTTTACGGTTGTGACCTTGACAAAAGTATCTTTGTTCCTTTGCTTTTAAAAAAAGTTACTGAATTTTCATTCCCTCCCCTTCACATTTTCAGAATTTCTTTTTATAGCTTCATCTTCATTTTCGAAACTTTGGAAAATGGAATTTTTGACTCGGGAATGAAAAAAACGGTCAACGATGAAAGAGTTGGTTCGATTTTGAAAATTGCCAGTGGTCTGCATCGAAACTGGCAATGGAAATCCAGCAACATGAAAACCCTCCAAAAATGACAAGAAAAAGTGAAAAAAACCCGCCTCAAAGAGCAACTAACATATTTGCAGCATTTCTGTAAAAAATAAAATAAAAACCAAAATGCAACCCCACCCCATTCCAAAATCCAAATGAATTTGCAAAAATGTTCATTGTTGAAAAAGGGCTCGTGTCATTAAAAATATTTTCTTAAAAAAAAAAATCGAACAGTTCTACTTGGGAATAACTCGCGTAAATGCAAGCGAAACACAACTTAGCCCGTTTGAATATGAACATATTCACAAATCACTGTTATTCTTCTAGCTCTAGGCTACAATCAAGGAGAATAAGTAGGCACCGGATAGTACCTAGATGGAGGGGTGGGTGATGGGCAGAGTTAGGCAAGGAAAGATGGTAGAACGGAACGACTATTAACCTCTACTGGAGGAAATAGGCATCGTCACTGGATATTCTCCTGAGTCTCCCGGCGGTATGGGAGCTGGAAGAGAAGCAGAAACCAGGGCATGATGGAACAGACAAGAAAGTTGAAGTTGGTCCTGTTTTGGGCCGGGGACTGGACTTGATGACTCCTGAAGGCTCTGCCCGCCGTAGGAGCCCATGAATGAAGATGCAACGGCTAATGGGTGATCAATAACGAATCTCACGCTTCTTGGCGTGACTCGGCAGCAAGGTGAGGAAGAGGCTGAAAACATCAAGGGAGGCACAGACTGAAGGTGACGGAAGGGCTGTCCAGTTGGGCAGAAGGGGGACTGTATGGAAAGAGGTGACTTAGTTACTGGGGAATATGAATTCAGAGCCCAAGAGGGGCCAGAAAGAGAGCTGGGGGCAGCGAGGAGGTCAAAAGAGAGTCAAGGAAAGTGATTCAGTGCTGTAAGTCTCAAGTTGCAGTGGGGGAGGTCTAGGTTGGAGATCAGGACAAACGATTTCCCTAGGAGGGTGGGGAAGCACGGGGATGGGTTCCCTAGGGAGGGGGTGGAATCTCCATCCCTAGAGGAGTTTTAGTCCCGGCTTGACCAAGCCCTGGCTGGCATGATTGAGTTGGAGTCGGTCCTGCTGTGGGTAGGGGGCTGGACGCGATGACTCCTGAGGTCTATGCACACCCTGGGATTCTGGGATTCTATGAGGACGTTGGGGAGAGCAAGCAAGATGCGGTAGTGTTGGAGGTCGCCTGGAGTTGTGGAAGAGGGTGGGGAGGTGGGAGGAGCCAGGCGTGTGAAGGTCAAGAAGAGGTGGTGGGCGTGGCTCTCGGAGGAGGAGAAGACGACCTGGGGAAGGAGGAAGGAGCTGGAGAGTAGGGAGCTGACAGCACAGCCCTGGGGGCAGGAAGAGTGAGAGGGGAGACAAAATGCAGGGCAGGAGGGGGAGACATGGGGAAAGCGAAGAGGGAGGCAGGTGAGAATTAGGCAGTGTGAGGGGGGAATGAGAGCGGCGGGGGGGCGACGGGAGGGGAGAAAGGCAAGATTCTTGGGCAGTAGGGAGGGAGAGGGGTAGGTGAGAATTAGGGAGTGTGAGAGGGGGAACGGAACGGCAGTGGGGGGCG